GTAAAGTTTTCTATTTTTTATTTATTTGTTTTACACTTTTCTGTTCAAACCAAACTGACAATTTGTAATTCCCAAAGCTCGTCAAACTATATATCCATTTAATGCGCTTAACTTATGGTATTTTTTTTTTTGTTGTTGTTGTTGTTGTTGTTGTTTTTGCAATTTTTACGTCAATTTTAACAAGCAACAAATCTTCTAGAAAACAAACCTTTTGAACAAAATCAAAAATATTTTTTTTTTTTTTTTTTTTTGCTTGTATATTCTACCAAATTTTGGCTCTATATTTGGGTGGCCAAAACAGTAATGTAGTAGATTATTGGGTCAGTGTTCTTTGGCTGACAATCGGTTTCATCGTAGACGTCAGTCACACTTTGACTATCATTTTGATTATGTTCAGGTTGCTAAATGCTTAGTCTAACCAAGACGGATAAGTTGAGATGACGATGGATGGAAAGAAACAAAAAAAAAAAAAGGAATTTCAGTGACAGAAGACGGCTAAAAAAGAATCAAGTTTTTTTTTTTTGCTTAGCCAAGTCACCTAATGCTTTTTTTCTTTTTTTTTTGTTGTCGAGCAACAATCGATTTTAATTTTATTTCTTTATAACTGCAACAAAAAAAAAAAGAAAAAAAAAAGAAGAAAGAAGAAGAAGGAAAAAAAAAGGAAAAAAGTTTCCTTTACTGTGGATCTTTTCCAAGGACAATTAAATTAGTTGTCGATTCAGCTGATGTTTCTTGTGTGATACTCAAATTTCTTCACCATCGTTTTTTTTTTTTTTTTTTTAAATATTAGATTAAAGTTGCTTTCTTTTTTCACTGTCTTCTATCTACCAGTTTTTGTCTTATTGTTGACTGCAAAAAACAGAAAAAAAAAACCACTATAACAGCGACAAACAGACAAATAAAAAAAAATGAGAAAACAAAAATTTCTTCCTATTTCTTTTTTGGGTTCAGAGCAAAACTGTTGTCAATGTGTGTGTAAATAGCTGCAACATAAAACATTTTTGTTGACAACTATATTTGTCAACGATAAATCAAGAAGAACCCTTAATAAACTGTAATATCTGTCGGTTGATTACAGACCTCTTATTTTTTTACGTATAACTGTACTGAAGGCAGTCAATGCAAATGGTGGTCTTATCAAGGTGTAATGTTTGTAGAAATTCTGCTTATGATACTTGCAATAATGTTTCAATTGCATAGCGGATTCCTTGACAAACGATTGCAAAAAAAAAAACTTTATTTTCATCACGTCACCATCACAAAATTTGCTGTAAAAATTGACGGAAACGGTGGTAAAAAAAAAAAAAATTTAGGTTCTTTTTTTTTTTTTTTT